TTTGCTTCTGCTTCTTAAATTGATCTGCTTTGACTCCCTGTCTCTGTGTTGTGAACTTCTATGGTAGAAATCCTGTGTGATTCAGTGGTGCAGTCTCCTTGCTCTCCTGAAGTAAGTCTTTTGTGATGCCCTTTATGTCGCTTACGTGGGCTCTCTGGATGCAATTGGGTTTTGATTGTTGTTGGGTCATTCTTTGGTGAGGCCTTCCCTCCAGCTGGTTGACTGTGGGTCACTCCACCTACCACATCTTACATGCTGTTGTGCAGGTGCTGCCAGAAGAAAACCACAAGGCCCAGGAAACAAACCCACATCCACAAAAATAACTTCTATCCACAATCCCACTATTAACAGCAAAAAACCAATATTAATAGAGATGTAAAGGGATTAAGACTATTATAAGAAAGGAGAGTAAATATGAGATGACCTACTGAAAGAAAAATTATTTTGAGAGGGTAGAGGGAAGAGCACTAATTATAGTAGGGAATTTGAGCAATGGGAAAAGAGAAAGTAAAATTTAGCTCATAAATTAAAAAAGGGAATGAAGTAGAAGAATAGAGTAAGAGAAGGGTAGACTTTAGTATTAGGCTTAAAGAAAAAATTAAAAAATGAGAAAGTAAAGGGAAAGTAAATTTTAAAAAACAGGAACCAAATTGGAAAAAAAAAAAAGATCCACCACAGTACTACCAACAACAAATAAGCTAAAATTAAATAGATGGGTTTGGAATTAGAAGGAGAACAGAAAGAAGGAAAAGCTTAACAGATGTCTAGAGGCAAAGGAAGTGATTTCCAGATAAAAGAGGGAGAGGGAATATTAAGAGTGAGAAAAAAAAAACAGACTAAGACAGGGAAAAATTAAAATTTGAGACAAAAAAAAAGAGTAGGAGTGGGGAATGGTAAAATTTGAGACTTGAAATGTAGAAATAGTGAAGGTTGGTAGATAAAATTGAAAAATTGCAATAACTACCCTGTCCACAATCAATGAGCAAAGATCGCTGAAGGTGGAGTGAGAACTCAGGTATTCTAAGAGTGGGAAATGGAATGTGAGATGACCATTGACAAGAAAATTAGTTTTGAGGGGCTGGATGGGGGAGAAAGAGTAAGAATGTGAAATGGAAACAAAAGAGAAAATAAAATTTTAATGAGAAGAGAGAAGAAGGTAAAGTGCGGTAAGAGAAGAGATAAGCAAAATATGTGAACTGAAATAAAGTATAATATAAAGTCTAGTGACCTGATACGCACAAACATGAAGGACAAGAAATTAATGTTAAAAAGCTATGCAAGAAAGAATATGTCAAATGGAGAAGACCACAGTGGATTTTATCTCAGCAGCATTTACCACTGTTTTCTCTTTCTGGATCTGCCTCTTGTGATGTCAGATGGTGTCCAGTCTGGCCTTAGGCCGCCTATTCAAGATTGGTAGGGATCCACAGTCTATAGCTGACTCCTTCAGTTGTAAATCTAGTCTAGTCACTCTGCACTCAATGATCAGGCTTAAGCACCACAGGGCGGGGCAGAGTCCCGCCCGAGGTCAGGGGCTATTGTTTCCCCTCAGGTTGCTGCCACATGGGGGGTTGTGGTCTGCCTGAGCAAGATCACTGCTGCAAGGTGGGGAGTAAACTCAGCACCCGGGTCCCAGAATGTCCTCTTAAGAGTTCTGTCCCCAAAGCCTCCATCCCAGTCTCTCCTCATGCGTCTCTAGTACACTCTGCCCCCGCCTTTGCTGGAGCCCAGAGTAAGTGGCCACAAAAGAAAATCTATGTATTGGCCCCTTAAACAGCTCTTTGTGTCTCCAGCTATTCGTCTTTGGCAGAGAAAAACTCTGCCTCTTTTCGAAATTAGATGTTATCTATGTACTTTTCAGGCTCTGGTGCTTTAGGCTGAGGATCCCAGTTTAGGATTTAGACCCTACACTTCTCAGGGGGTTCCAACTGGCTGCTTAATTATCCGTTCAGCACCTCAGCTGCTGCCTGTGGGCACCCAGCAAGCCTTCTCATGTCTCCATCACACTTGTATCTGAAGCTATTTCTTCTGTCTGTGGTTATAAGGCTTCTCTCTCACTATTGTTTGGTTCTTTGTTCTGGATGATTTCTCTACAATTTAGTTGTAATTCCAGATTGGTCCTGGGAGGAGGACCAATCATTTATCTGCCATCTTGGATCTCCCATCTTCGAACTATATACTCTAAGATTTTGGTTTTGTTTTGTTTTTGTTTGGTTTTTAAATAAAATACCTTGTGGGAAGGATCCATTTGATTTTCGAAGGTACAGAATTGAACATTCAGACTTACTGTCTACATTTGTAGGGGAAACATAGCTAAGCTCTGTAAGGACTTTGAAATGTTCTATATCCACCTTTAATATTGTTGAATATTTAACAATAGTTTGTATTATTGCATAGGAAACCACTTTTTCTTAGAGAGTACTACCAAATATTAACCAAATTAATGAATATATAGTAACTACCTTATTTGCATTATTGGTTCCTACCATAGGAGAGTTTTGAGGGTTTTTAAATGTTTTCTACCATGCTTTAATCAAAGAGAGAAAAGATACAGAAAATGCAATTCTTGAATTCTTATTCTAAGGTCATTCACATTGTTGAAGACATACTGTGACTGTGCCGCTACAAATGAACTCTGAAGATCAACTTTTCTTTATGAATTGTGCTGTTAAACACACATTGCCTCAGGATTCTGTCTTCTGACCAGTGTCAGAAAGGGAAAAGATGTATAGGGCATTTTAGGATGTTGACCTAAACATTTAGATACAAATTTGTCAGTGATTGGCAAACTGCTAAGATATAGAAACACACTATCAGGTAGAAATATGCACTATGTAAATGGTCCATTTATATTCTTTCACAAAATGTTTTACCTTATAATTATATTGTTATTTGAAAAGCCTTAGGGAGAAATAGTCTCTAAAACAATGCTTCAGAAAATTTAACTATAAGCTACTAAATTTGTATATAATTCTAGATAGAAGAACTAAGAATTTACTATCTGATATAACTGATACCTAATAAACAAACATAAGAGATTCAGGTTTCTGGTAAGAATTATAATGAATGGTAGCAGAGATGGTATAATGTTTTAATAAATCCCACTGGGTACACGAAAAGGTACAGTGACTCTTACTCCTACAAATCTAGAGGGGAAAAAGTCATTTGGCCTTTACTTCACCCTCACCCCATTTCAGTATGTGAGAAAACCCAAACACTAAGTCAGATCCCAGACAACGGTAAGTTATGAGTGGGTGGTCCCTCTCTAGGGGCCATAGGAGTGTTTCAGTCACCACCTTTAGTTTTTAAAACTAAAAAGTTGATAGTAAAGGTAAGTGAAAATGGTAAAATCTAAACACAGGGACTTCCTAAAATATATCAAAAAGGTGTATGCAGAGAAAATCTGGTCATCCCAAGGAAGCCAGATTGTTTTAACCAGGAAAAGAATTATATTTCAAAAAGTAGCCTTTTTAAAAAAAAATGCAGGTATAATGTCTAAAGCCTTCCTGATCACCTGCAGTTGGTAAACTGCAGATTTGCTTGGGAAGGTTTTGGGTTTATTGTTTTTGTTTTTGTTTTTGTTTTTTTGTTAGGTATTAAATGAAAGGAATGCAGAGTCTAAGTTCTCTTGGTTGTAATTTTTAAAAGATTCCTGTAAGCTTTCCTTTGATGATGACATTTCTGTTAGTTAGAGAATTTCAGGACTGAATCATACAAGGTCTGTACAGAGGATATCCAGCCATGTACAGTCTCCCTCTCTACATCTCAGTTCACTTATGCGACTTCACTGTATCCCGGGTATACAGTGAAGCTGCGATAAGTGAACTGCGATATAGCAAGAGACAACTGTACACTTCACTGGTGAGTGCCCACATAGAATGTTGTGTGTTGTTAAAATTACGTAGGTTTAAGAGTGTAGAAAGTGTTTAAGAGCATGGGAAAGGTTAATAAGAGAGTGGGAAAGGTTTATAGAAGTGTGGGAAGGGTTTATAAAGCCTTAAAGTATATATAAATAATAAAATAAATATAACTCTGCTACTTCACAGATTTTCACCTATTGGGGGGGTCTCTGGAACATAACTCCTGCAATAGGTGAGGGATCACTGTAATATGAAAAGTAGAGACATTTATTGAAGAAGATACACAGAACATTATACGTAGAACAGTGATGCCACAGTCCCTTTCAAAGTAGGCACCTTGGACCTCACACAGTTCTCCCAATCTCTATCAACTGCCCCATTATATTTTCCTGAATCTCATCCATGTTCTGAAATCTCTTCTCTTTCAGAGGTGATTTTAGTTTTGGAAAAGCCAAAAGTCGTAGGGCACCAAATGTGGGCTTAAGAGTCACCTGGGTGATTTGATGTTTCACCAAAAAACTCTGCACCAGACGTGATGCATGAGTGAGTGCATTGTCATGATGAAGCTGCCAATCATTAGTTGCCCATAGCTGCAGCCTTCTGAATCATCGAGATAGTTTCCCCAGATGAATGTTCATGCTTAGTGCAAAATTCGATGCAGATTCGTTGCTCTTCTCACTCAGTCATTTTGAACGTAGCAGCCACACAGTACACATGCTCACTCAATGCATCTACCACCCCACTAACTAGTACAATGACGTCGTCATTGTTCACCATGTGCATTCCAGTCCACTCTCCTTGGCTGCCAGGTTACATGGATGTCACACAAACTGTTCTTGTTATATTAATAATGGTGGACTTTTCTGTACAGACCTTGTATACCTTAGTATCACCAATACATTGAAGAACAACCTTTTAATGATGATTTTGCAAATGGCAATGCACATATTTCACATTTTAACATCCTCATTCCAAAATTGGAATGTGTATTACAGTGGAATATATTTGTCAGTGTATTTTTTTCTTAGTAGGGAAATAAAATAATTAGGCATCTTGTGGTCAGTGTCATCTTATTGAATAAACTGGTGGTTTTGCACCATTACAAAAGTTGTGCTACATTATGGCCTGTTAACTTATCAGGAAATTCCTCCTTATGAAACCAAGGGAGTGATGAGAGCCAGTTTTTCCTCCAGAGAAGCAGATAACCACACAGCCTTCATAAGAATAAAGACTAATGCTTCAGACAGCACAGAGTTTATCATTCTTCCTGTCGAGGTCGAAGTTACAACAGGTGAGTGGAAAACTGAAGGCACCGTAAGTTTGTTTAGTTTTTCACTGCATCTTACTCTGGCAAAGTGAAATATAATTGTTTACTTTTCTTTTTTCCAAGCCCCTGGAATTTATTCCTCAACAGAAATGTTAGATTTTGGTACACTGCGAACACAAGGTAAGAAAAGAAACAAGAATATCTCAATGAGTGTATTTTAAAAAAGGAAAATCCCTGTGCAGTACTGAATGGTACTACTACTTTAACTCCTTTGTAGTTTAGCTTTGAAAGTTCCTTCTAGTGGGTTATCTGATTTTGTAGAAATCTTCTTTTGGGAACTGTGAACCCTTACAAGGCCATGGGATAACATAAGTCTTCTAAATGGGAGTTGAGTCACAAAGTAATTTCTCAATTTTATAATCCAGTTCCTCCCCACTTCTGGATTTTTATTTATATATTGATTATTCAATTGCATTTTAATGACGTGAAATTAGAAATTTGTCCCAGCTGGTCAGAGAAAGAATTCAAATTCTGAAACTAAAAACAATCAAGTTAAGGATTTGTTAAGGAAAAGTGATAATGTAGTTAATCATTGAACAGTGTGAGTTTGAACTGCACAGGTCTATTTATATGTGGATTTTGTTCAATAAATATACAGTTGGCTTCCATAATCCCAGGTTTTGCATCTGTGATTCAACCAACTAGGGACCAAAAGCTATATTTTTTGTCTGTGGATGTGGAAGGCTGATGGCATTATTCTGTGCCTTTTTATATAAGGAACTTGAGCATCCACAGATTTTGATATCTGCTGGGGGTCCTGGAACCAATCCCCTTTAGATATCAAGGAATATAGTTAAGTTTTTGGAGAATCAAAGGTTATACACAGATTTGCAACTGCATGAGAATTGGCACCCCTAGTCCCAGTGTTGCTTATGAGTCAATGTACTTGTAATTTGGGGTGTCTGTGGACCATATGTAATTAAAATTTTGTTGTTTGATATTGAAGACCTGTTTTTGAATGTGAGATTCAGTTTTAATATAATTTCACATTGCATATTTTTAATTTGCTTCATTGTACTTTGCTGGAAAACAAAAAGTTTTAATGTCAACTTTACTAAAAATTTTTTGTCTTATTTTGGCCTGGTTGTTTAGGTGGGGGCAGTTCTTGTAACACACAATGTCCTTAATGAGTAAGGTGATTCCTACCAAATGTTTCTTTTTATTAATGTGATGGCCATTTTATTTCACATTCTAGAATAGATTCAATCTGGTATCCAAGAAGATAAAAGATCATAACTTGCTATAAAATATACCTTTTTAAGAAGTATTTCTTTTTTCAATTTTTACAGATCTACCAAAAGTTTTAAATCTTCATTTACTAAATTCAGGAACAAAAGATGTACCAATAACAGTAAGTTTTTACTTATTTTTCCCTAACATATATTTTTTATTTTTAAACTTATGACAAAGTTAAAAAATAATAAACTCTTGCTCTAAAGGAATTTTTGTTTTGTGGTGACCTGGTGACACCATGGTATGGTACTAAGTATGATGTGAAAAACCTGTTCTGCCTTAACCACCAAATTTTGAGGAGGGGGAGGGAAAGGAAGTGATAATTTCCAAGTTACTTTTGAATTGAAGTTTATGAGGGTCCTATTTAGGCAGAATATTGTAAAAGGCCTTTGGAGCCCTGACCCAGCAGCTCAGTTGACTGGAATGTTGTCCTATGCACCAGAAGGTGGAGGCTTTGATCCCCAGTCAGGGTGCATACCTAGGTTGATCCCACCTTGGGGCACATACGGGAGGAAACCAGTTGATGTTTTTCTCTCACATCGATGCTTCTTTCTCTCTCTCTCTCTCTCTCTCTCTCTCTCTCTTTTTCTCTGTGTCACTCTCCTTCCATCTCTCTTTCTTTCTATCCCTCCCTCTCCTTCTTCTCTCTCTCTTGCTCTAAAAATCATTGAACCATATCCTCACGCGAGGATTAATAAATAAGTAGCCTTTGAATTCTGGAAAAACCTAGTATCTGTGTGCCACGTGCAGAGAAAAACAGGTTATAAAGGATTCCATCAAGTTTGGTTATTAGACTAATTGTATGAATAAGTAAAAAGAGAAAGAAAGATTCAGCTATATTGGCAAGAGAAATTATGAAGCACAGAATTAGGGTAGGTAGCAGTAGTATACTATTAGCATTTGTCATAGGTGTCCCTTCTAACTGGCAGCTGTTGTAGTTACCCTACATAGCATACTATAAACAGGGGTCCTCACTTCCCCTTACACATATACCCAGCTAACTTTTATGCCTTATAATGGAATTGGGGTTCTATTAGATGGTTTTAAGCAAAAAGGGGGGCTATTTATATTTTGTTTTAGCCTCAACCTTGCTTTCTAGTGAGGTCCCCAAAGACACATTCATGGGGAATGATGGAAAAGGAAAGCAGTACATTTTTATTATAACCTGTGCTGATGTCAGAAACATAAATGCAGAATACTCTGATAAAATAAGTGGGTCATAGGGGCTTGAGACTTAAGGGACTTAACCCAGAGTTTACAACAACAGGTGGTGGAATAGAGACCAAAGAAAGGAGAGTATACAAATCTGAAATGAGGAAGCAAGAAGTTGCCATTCCAGGTAACAGGTAACCACATTTTAATGCACAGCAACCTGCTCACCAGTGGGATCACAGCCTAGACAGAGTCTGGCTCTCTGACCTTGTATCGCTTCCTGCTTGCTGGAAGAATTGAGAATGTGTTAGGGAGTGCAGTCTGGTAAAGAGCTTCCCATATATGCAGAAGAATTGAAACGACCCCACCTGGAGTTCCTGCCCCTCCAGTGTTAGGTGAGCTGAGAGAGACCTGTGATGCCTTAGCCTGTGTATGCTGCCATACTTCTGAGGGGGTCATCAGGGGCCCAGTGCCTTTCCACAGATGACAAGGAACAACTCTTTTTGACCTGGCCACCCTGATGCCATTGAAACAAAAACACCAAGAACTAAGCAGCAGCATTCTGTCTCCTTCTTAGTTTCCTTCTTAAATAGTAGCCTTAATGTATTTATTTTTTATATACTTGCTTTCCAAAATAATACTCATTTTTTATTTAGTGACCTGTTTTTTAAATTCAGTCTTTTGAATGGTTATCATCAAAGTCCCTATGGAATAAAACTGTCAGCATGTCTTCCAGGAGTAACCTTTTACATAAGAAAATATAACAGTGAATATTTCTGTTGTACAGTTTCTTTGTAATTCCTGTTTATAGCAGTAATTAATTATATCTTTAAAAAGTATACAGTACTATTGTTACTTTTTAATAGTATTGCGGGATTAGTGTGGGATTTCTGAAATTTTTACAAGTCTTTAGAAAAATGAGCAAAATAAGAACAATATAAATATTTATAAAAATATTACTGTGTGTATGTTTAAAAAATTTACAAATACCCTTTCTAGAGAAAGACTGCTCTACAATAATGTGCTTGTTTCTTTGACATTAAAATAGCTGCTACTTTATGAATAAAGACAGTAGGTAGGGGTTTTGTCTTAATCGATGAGTTGGGAAGTGTTTCTGCCTCTTCTATTTTGGAGGGAAGAGTTTGTGAAGGTTTGCTCTTAGTCCTTCTTTAAATGTTTGATAGAATTTACCAATGAAGCCATCTGGGCCCAGGCTTTTCTTGTGGGAAGTTTTAAAACTACTAACTCATCTCTTTATTTGCTACAGGCATATTCATATTTTCTATTTTTTTAAGATTTTATTTATTTATTTTTAGAGAAGAGGAAGGGAAGGAAAAAGAGAAGGAAAGAAACATCAGTGTATGGTTGCCTCTCATGTGTCCCTTGCTGACAACCTGGCCCGCAACCCAAGCATTTGCTCTGACTGGGAATCGAATCTATGACCCTTGGATTTGCAGGCCTGGACTCATCCCACTGAGCCACACCAGCCAGGGCCTCTGGATTGTCTCTTTATTTTGTTAATTTTTTTTCTTTTTTTAATTTAAAAATATATTTTATTAATTATGCCATTACAGCTGTTCTATTTCCCCCTTCATTTCCCTCCACCCTGCACACCCCATCCCCCACCATCCCCCCCCTTTAGTTTATGCCCACGTGTCTCAAGTTCTTTAGATTCTATATTTCCCATACTGTTCTTGCCCTACCCCCATCTATTTTCTACCTACCATCTATGCTACTTATTCTCTGTACCTTCTCCCCCCTTCTCCTCCTCCCACTCCCCTGTTGCTAACCCTCCATGTGATCTTCATTTCTATGTTTCTGCTCCTGATCTAGCTGTCCTCTTAGTTTGCTTTTGTTTTAGGTGTGGTTCTTAGTAACTGTGAGTTTGCTGTCCTTTCATTGTTCATCTTTTTTATCTTCTTTTTCTTAGGTAAGCCCCTTTAACATTTCATATAATAAGGGCTTGGTGATGATGAACTTCTTGAATTTGATCTTATCTGAGAAGCACTTTATCTGCCCTTCCATTCTAAATGGAAGTTTTGCTGGATAGAGCAATCTTGGATGCAGGTCTTTGGATTTCATGACTCGGAATACTTCTTTCCAGCCCCTTCTTGCCTGGAAGGTCTCTTTTGAGAAGTCAGCTGACAGTCTCATGGGGACTCCTTTGTAGGTGACTGTCCCCTTATCTCTTGCTGCTTCTAGGATTCTCTCCTTCATTTTAATCTTGGATAATGTAATGATGATGTGCCTTGGTGTGTTCCTTCTGGGTCCAACTTCTTTGGGACTCTCTGAGCTTCCTGGATTTCCTGGAAGTCTATTTCCTTTGCCAGATTGGGGAAATTCTCCTTTATTATTTGTTCAAATAAGTTTTCCACTGGTGGCTGTTCCTTTCCCCCTTCTGGTACCCCTATAATTCAGATGTTGGAGCGTTTAAAGATGTCCTGGAGGTTCCTAAGCCTTTCCTCCTTTTTTTGAATTCTTGTTTCTTCATCCTTTTCTGTTTGGTCATTTTTTCCTTCCTTCTGGTCCACTCCTTTGATTTGAGTCCCAGTTTCCTTTCCATTACTATTGGTTTCCTTTGTATTTCCATTCATTTCAATTAGTTTAGCCTTCATATGTTCCTCTAATTTGTGACTAAAATCAACCAGTTCTGCGAGCATCCTGATCACCAGTGTTTTGAACTGTGCATCTGAAAGCTTGGCTATTTCTTCATCACTTAGATTTATGGGCTCTGGGGCTCTAAATTGTTCTTGAGCCATGTTTTGATCTGTTCGTGCCTGTTACGTGTGAGGAGTGGAGCCTTAGCTGTTCACCAGGGCAGGGCCAGCGAGGTCGCTGGGTTGTGATGCTGTATATGGGGGAGGGGTAAGAGAGGGACAATGGTGGTTCCCTCTGCCGCTTCCTGCCGCTGGGGCCTGCATGGTCCGTCTCACTGCTAGCTCCTTCACCAACTTATCTGCACACAAATGTGTGACTGGGATCAGCCCTCAGTGGGTCCTCCCACTTCTCCACACCTGGGATCCACCCACGGCTGCTGGCACACCTGGGTCTCATGCCCAGGTTTGTCCGGTGGATCTTTCCTGCCCGACCCCCTCTGCTGCTGGCTCCGCCCCTCTTACCAGTTTGGCTGAAGGTTTCGTTGTTGTCAGACTTCCATGTAGTTCAGTTTTCTGTGGTTTGGCTGCGTTTTTGTTGCTAAAACTTTGTTGTTTTTAAACTTAGTTGTGCGAGAAGGCAAAGTGCTTCCACCTATGCCTCCATCTTGGTGGAAGTCCTTGTTAATGTTTTTTATTGCTGTGCAAAAAATTTTTTGTTTGATATAGTCCCAGTTGTTTATTTTTTTCTTTTATTTTCCTTGCCTGGGGAGATATATCTGATAAAATACTGCTATGAGCAATGTCCAAGATTTTGTGGCCTGTGTTTCCTTCTAGAATTTTTATAGTTTTGGGTCTAACACTTAAGTCTGTAATCCATTTTGAACTTATTCTTGTATGTGTTTAAAGGTGGTATAGCTTCATTTTTCTCCATGAATCTGTCTAATTTTCCCAACACCATTTATTGAATAAACTACCTTCAGCCCATTGCATGTTCTTGCTTTTTTTGTCAAATATTAATTTACTGTAAATATGTGGCTTTATATCTTGGCTCCTATTCTTTTCCATTGATCTATAAGTCTGTTTCTATGCCAGGACCATGCTGTTTTGATTACTGTGACCTTCGGTATAATTTCATATTAGATGGTGTGATTCCTCCTACTTTGTTCTTCTTTCTCAGGATCACTGTTGCTATGTGGGGCCCTTTGTGGTTCCATATAAATTGTTGAAATATTTGTTCTAGTTCTGTGAAATATGTCATTGGAGTTTTGATAGGAATTGCATTGAATCCATAGATTGCTTTGGGTGTGATGACATTTTAATGATGTTAATTCTTCCTGTCCATGAACACAGTATGTTTTTTTACTTATTT